CACGTGAAGGACACTCTTCAGAGTGAGCTGGTAGGCCAGCTGTATAAATCCTTGTTGTTGGATGACCTTCTGACGGAATCAGAGGACATGGCACAGCGCAGAAAAGAGGCAGCTGACATGCTAAAGGTAGGAAAAAGATCAGGAGTTCATGGCAGTAGTTCACCATATAAATGTGAGATTTTTGGAGGACTTTTGCCTTCCTTTTTTCTTTGCTGCTTTTTTAAGAATATGCCAATGTATTACTTCTCTCTGCTAGAGGGATTAAAACTAATATGTGACCAGAAAGTATTATGTAGATTGAGTACTTGGGGAGAAGTAACTTAAACTATATTTTCGGCATAAAGCAGAAGATCTAATCTGGCGTTATCTTCCATTATACATTTGGTTTTAATAATGTGCTTTTATTTAATTTTGTAGTTTTAAGTAGTGCTCTTTTGGGGGATTAAGTTTACAGTGTTTTAAGTGCCATTCATGTGTGTCATGCAGAGCCTAATGGCCAATGGCTGGTGTCTCTAGACAGTGCCTCATAATGTAACAGTGGGAATGTTTGCACTCACCTATGGTGACTCTGTGTACATCTGTATGACAGTCCTGATGATGTGTCCATGATAGTGAACTCTTCATTTCTTCATTGTTCAGTTATGTAGTGTGTCAGTGTCCACATCACCTGCATCAGAAATCTGCTGCTTTGCATTCAGGTGCATAAAAATGGTCCCTCTGCCAGTTCAGCTCACTGAAGAAGTACCAAGAGGTGCTTCTTTTCATATGCAGTGTGGTCAGACAGTGCCTATTTGAGACTGGATACCCTGACATACCACTTGTACAAACTCATAGCTCAGATTTCTCCAAATTTGAGTAATACTATAAATAATGTCAGTATTAGTTGGTATTATGAGTTTTTAAATCTGCAGTTTAGCAGACTACACTGCAATGAATGCTACAGAATGGTAAAAGTCATAAAAAGTAGGTGCAGATTCTCTTTTATTTTGAAGAGGTTTTAAAACATTAAAATTGTGCGTGTTGAAAAAGCCTGCCCTTCTTGAAAATTTAATGGGTTGCCACTCATTTCATAATGAAACTGATTAGCTTAAAATAAGTTTTTAAGTTTACACTTCCTAGACTGCTGCTGTTACCTCCCTGAGAAACCTCTACAGAAAAACTAACTAGCTCTGGCTTCTGTGTGTTTGTGTGTGCAGGCCCTGCAGCGAGCCAGCCAGATCATTGCAGAGATTCGTGAGACACATCTTTGGTGAAGACTGTATCAGCCACACTATTTATATGCATTGGAGGTTACATTGGCTTGAAAATTGCTAGGCATGGTATACGGAGTAGAATTTTTATTTATGAACTCTTATCTGTGTACTGCAACTGTGTAAATCTGCTCATGTAAAGACAGTTGGTTTGATTTGCAAACAGGACAATATGCTGTATTTTGCAAAAGAAGTCGTATTTAATCCACATAATAAATGGCTCTAAATGTTTCCTTACCAGCTTTCTGGTGCAAATTAAAGCAGACCAAGTCTTCTGTCTCAGTGACAGTCTCATCTGAACTTGGGGAAAAAATGTTCAAGTTCCAGTGCCTGACTTGCTAAACAGGTTGCCTGTGGTTAAGACGGCCGGTGTAGTCTTGTGGCATAGTTTTAAGCTGCTTTTACAATAGAAGTTTAAATACTGTGAAGAGAAGAAAGCACCGAGTATTTCCTTTCATGAATATATTGCATGCACTGTGACAGATGGAGGTATCAATTTTATAGCACAGTAGACATGTCGACTGTATTACTATGTATGTGTGTCCACATTATTTTTTTCCCCCAAATGTTTAAACTGCAGACAAAACGTTGAACTTGATTTAATGGAGTATCATGTAGGAAGAATTAGCCTGGAGCTTGTGAACAATAACGGCCTGCTAAAAAGTGGGTGCAAAGGTTTTCATGTGCACTGGAGCTTGTGTATGAATGCTGGGGATTATAATCAGGTACAAGGACATCTCCCCCTTCCTCCCCCCTGGGACCAAGCCCCTGGACCATCCCATAGTAAATTTTGTTCTGGCAGAACTGAAAAATAAAAACGGATTTCAAAACTGTAATGGGATAATAAGTGTTTCTTTTAAAAACAGATTTAAGTTGGCCAGGGAGAAGGGGATCCCCACAACTTCTTTGAATTTTGGAATGTATGACAGTATGAAAGAAAGTCTGTGGAATTGGAATATTTATACCAGAGATTAGAGTTGCTTTTGAGGAAATTTTATTGTGCTGTAAGTAGCGCTTTCTTTTTTTTTTTTTTGGAGGACAATCGTAAAATAATGAAATTTTAGGTTGGAAATTAAGTTGATTTTTTTTTTTCTTCTGATTATAATTCATACAGATAACTATTGATCACACTAGCCTTTATAAAGTAAACATTTTAATTGTTATGAATAAAAATTTATTTAAACTCCAGCCAGCGCACTTGCATGTACTTTTAAAGCAGATTCACTCTTTTTGTATAAAGTGAAAATGTTTACTCTAGTGTTGCTGATATTTTATCTTTAACACAACTTGCATGAAAAATAGGACACTGCCCTTAACCTCCATGGCTTTGTGGTATTGGGCCAGTATAATGAGGTTTTTTTATTACCAAATGCACTTCCTTCTGCCTTTAATCAGTTAGAAATGGAATTCCTTTTGTAAGCTGCTAAAGATTGAAAATTTAAAAATTCAGTTTACAAGAAGCTGTTTAAAAATGCATTTTTCTCATGGTAATTTTCAGTTTTGCATCAATATAAGCACAGTCTGGCAGGTGCAACTTTTGGATACTTTATGTATAATCTGAGATAATTCACGCAGAACACAGAAATATATAATGTATTTTTAAACAGCCTAAAAAGTCACGGTGTATGTATTACATGTAATGAATACAAAGCAAGTAATTTTAACTTCTTGCATTGTGTCCAGGGATGGTAGTTCTCAGATTTAAGAAATGTGACTGAAGTGCAAACCACTTTTGTATACAGCTTTGGTGATCAGTGGAAAGTTTTAATAGTTTTGTCAAAAGCATTTCATTTCTGTTTGGAATTCACCTGACACCTCTATCACCTTTTACTTTCAACACATAAGAAGTATGTTTTCAACAAGGTAGTGCCGTCCATAAGTGAACTGCTACCTAAGCTTTAACTCCCAGTCAACAGTCTCTTGTGAAGAAGTAATCTGACTTGTAAGTTTTGAAATGCTGCCTAAAGCAAATGAATTTCATTTATTTAAGAAATTCTTGCAAGTGATAACCTGGCTCTGTAATGTCATGTAAAATTTCCACAGTGTAAATTTGGTTTTTGAAATGTTACAACTTCTTTTGTTTTAAATTTCACAAAAAGTTTCAATTTGGTAATGTTTTGAGTGCCAAGAAATGAACTTGATTTGTAATCCTTAATGCAAGTCTTTGAAAGTCCATGCTGTAACAATCCTGTTATTTAATAAACAGATAATACACAAAATGAATTATCCCAGAAATAGTTTTGAACTGAGTTGTAGTTCAAGTGACAGGACTTAGTTAATAGTGTAACTGCCTGGATTTGTACAGCCATACTTAAGTTTGCACTTGCTCTTGTTCAAGTCTACATTCTGACTTCTTGTATAGTTGCATAACTAATAGTGTAGACAGGCTGCTTGTGGCTGTTGCTAGGTTTGAAATAAGCTGTTTTCTGGAATTGAACTAAAATACTTAAAGTGCCACTGTTGCTGCCAGCACTAAAAGAAATAATGAGTAAACTACAGAAAAAAACCTAATGGGGTCAGCAACAAAAAACTCCCAGATTAAAATGATGGTTTGCAGCTGCCTCCTAGCCCACCTTATTTAATTTAAGGTTGAAATAATTTTGTCATTAATGCACAAATTTTAGATAACTTAAAATACTTTGCTCTCCGGTGGGGAAAGAATCATGGAGGGGAGAACCACTGTAGCCAAGGTCAGATTAGTAAATGTCTGACATTAGTACCTGAGCTGTGTGGTACTCCTGTAACTAAAACACAGTGTACCAATGTGAACAGTTTGTCAGTGTTTAGTAGTCAGGTTCAGATTTCACACAGTGGAATAGATGGGCAAGGGGAGGGTGTCTTTGTGCTTCAAACCTCATTCTGAAGTAAACAGAGCAGACCTTGTGTAAAACCTGCCTTTACTCAATGTTTTATAGACTACAGCAGGGCAAACAACTTGCCAGTCTGTTGTGCCCCTACCTGTTGGTAACTTGAATGGAATTATCTTGAGTAATTTTTTTTCCTATGGTTTTATCCTTCAGCTGTGAGGGTGATGGGTAGCTGGTGTTTTCAGGAGTTACTGAAGATCTCCACTGTGTGAGCTTTTTATTGCAAGTCAAACTCTGTGCTTTGAGGTGAGAGCCAGATGATTGATTCTTCAAAGTGTAAAACCGCTGAATATAGTTTTGTGCTCAGTGGCACTGAAGGTGCTTACATGCTCTGATAGCTTCGAGTTTACCTGTCCAAAAAAATTACTTTTTGCACTTTAGAATCACACATTTCTAGCCATGTTAAATGCTTTAACATTCTGTACTACCTAATGTTCACATTGTTCAAATGTTCACATTTGAACAAGTTCTCTTTCTGATTACCTGAGCATATCTGTTTTGGGGTATAGAATAAATAAGATCAGGCTAAGGAAGGATACTTGATTTTTCTGGTCATCCTTGATCCTTGGCCCAAGTGTTCAAGTGTGATAACCTTGTGTAGTCATGGCAAGTAGTGGTTGTATCCAGCTGTTTCTTTGGAAAGAGTCAGGGAAGGGTTTGGTTTGCTAGGAATTGGTCAAAAGGAAGCACAGACTAAATTTCTTAAGAATTTATGGGTGTTACTAAAAACCTTGTCTGCAAAGAAGTGACTTCCCTTTTTTATTTTGTATTTGTAAAAATGAATAAAATCCTTTTACTAACTTATTAAAAGTGGGTATATGTGTGCATCTGCACCATTTGGTAATCAGGAAAAAAAGGCAGGAAAGAGATCAGACACGAATCATTATTAATTTCTCTGTTCTTGGGATTTTATTTCCTGCAACCATAAAGAAACTATCAGATCTGCTCTGTTGTTTTCCTCTGGAGGCAAACATGGCTGTCTATTGGTGTAGTTTGTTCCCACATGCTTCTGATTTGCACTAATGCTTCTGTTGTTTAAGAAACAAGGCAGGTATATTAGGTGGATGAACTTTACTTTCCCTTCTCTTCACCTTTCTCCTCCACATGCTTTCTCTTAAGGCAAAGTTAACAAGCAACAGAAAGTGGTCTGGGAGCTAAGACAATGTATAGAGTGCTTTTTTTCTTTCTGAAACAGAGACGTCTCATTATAATTTATAATTTCCCCATTCCTCTCATAGGCTGGGTGGTTTTAAACCAGCTGAACTACCATGAGTTATTCAGACAGCAGAAGAGATGGTGCTGAGTGACCACATCCAGGAAGGTCAGATTAAGATCTTGTGGTATAATATATTATATTGCAACTGACTGTAGAGGCCAAAGAACTAGTGCCAGGATATACTTTTATCAAAGATGGCAGATAGCAGGATGTATCCAGTGAATTCACAGGACCAAGAAGCGGAATGAGCGTCACTTACCTGGTAAGTCATACTATGCCCACAGAAGGCTTAAAAGGGATTCATGAAGTTGATTTAAGCTTTGAGAGGCTCTATACTTCCACACTTCAAGAAGTGATTTTGCTGTGTATTCCCACATGAAGGCTGGAAAGCTTTGGTGCAATGTGCCCCCATACATAACCAAGAAGCTCATTAGTGCTTAATCATTCTTTTCCTTTATTGTGAATTTCCTGCAGGGTCCTTCAGAGCAAACCTGTTGTGAACAAACACGTTGATTGCAGGTTGGTTGTCCTTGCCCACTGGCACAGGTTTCTCTGGTAGGTGAGCACACATTGGCTGTAAGAAGTCCTGGGTTGGAGGATGATTTTGCTTGTCTTGCTGTGGGTTCTCCTGTGGAGTAACCAGCCACTGTTCTCCTCCAACACATGGTTATTAAAGGAGGGGAAGCCTCCTTTGAGATCCAAAGATCTCCATCTTTGGACTTTGAAATGAATCTTTTCATTGTCTTCTTGTGCAGCTCCTCTTAGGAATGGTGCTTTGAATAAGGCAGAATATCTACAACCTCTTCACTGGTATACCTCAGCTGCTTTATTTGAACTCTGTTGGTGCATTTTGAAAATCGATGGTATTGGGCAGTTTGTGAGCTGCGTAGTAACACACAGGACAGAAACATCTTCAAGTATGTCTTCAAGCCACAGAGCTGAAATGACCTGTTGTTTTAGGGAGATTCTCTGTTGTCACAGCTGCAGCCATTTTATAACATAGTAATTTTTCTTTCCAACCCTAAGTAATGATACTCCATTCTTGAGAATATGCTGTCTGAGAATAAGAACAGTCTCAGGATTAGTTACACGATTCCCATTTATTGAAACTCCTCCATCTGTAATTTTCTGGTACCTTAAAAAAAAACCAAAACAAAAATAAATGGTAATTGCAAAAGGAAACTACTTACTGCCATTAAGTATTGAAAGTCCACTTAAGGGTTTTTTTTCTTGGATCCATAATTGAATAAATTTTAATTCTCTCGCACTTCATTTTCAGTCCAGGTCAAGAGTGATTGAAACTAACTTTAGCCTCTACTACTCCAATTCTGTCTGAGAGGTGTAGGGAAACCTAGGCTGTTGCTTTAGGTTGTCCCTTGATCAGGTGTAGATTTTACAGCTGAGGTACATAAGGCTGTGTTAGCATATACTTCAAAATGGAATGAGGTTGTGTGCTCGCCTCTTCTTTAATGCTGCTATGTAGATCACAGCCTGTTTCTGCTTGATTTGGCTGTCCTGATCATTTAACTTCTGACCCCAGACTGCTACAACTGTTTAAGTGAGTAGAGCACCAGGTGAGAACTTACCCACTAGGTCCATCTGGAATGGCATTTGCTTTGCGACACAAGTCAAGAACACTCATTCCAGGTTCAAGCATCAGTTCAGCAGAAGGAGCTTGTCTAAAAAGTTCCTGTAACTCTAGGTCAGACATCTCTTCCAGAGCCTCCACACTACTGTAATAAAGGGCCTTAGTGCACCTGTGAGAACAAAGATCATTCAAAATACAGAGCCAGACTCATTTTCACACAAAGTGCTATTCAAACAAGCAGATTCCTCTCCCCAATTTCTCCTGAGTCCACAAACTAAGAGAATTACTTAAAATACACCCCCATTTTCTTATTGCACCCCATTGCCCTGCGGATTTTTTTTTATATCCTTAATGTATTTTTAAGTCTACAGAATTATTACATTTTTCTCTTTTAACATCTAAGCAACAAGTAAATACATTTAAATAGTCTCTGAAAAAAGAATCATTACCATTTAAAAAATCTGAAACAAAACTGCTTGACAAAACAAACTTCACCTCTTAGCAGATTCTAGCCCCTCTCTGCCATGGACAAGCTTGGTTACTTCTGCAGCCAGTCGTTTCTGAGGGCCCCATTTTTCAGGTTCTTTAGCATGCATTTCCATGATGTGGGCAATCTCCTCAAGAGGTAGGAAAGTGAATAGTTTCAGGTATCTACAAGCAGAGAAAAAAATATTTGTTTGTATAGCCATCATTACAGATTTCCTGCCTTTGTCATTTGAACTTCGTTAACTCACTAAAATGATTCTTAATCCATTTAAGAAATCCATATGACATATTTAATTAATGCTTAATTGTGTGAATTATGGTACATGAATAGAAATAAATGGTATGTTTGTCCAGATGTGTGCTAAATTATGACTACTACTAGCTTTGAATAGGTTTATGGAACTAGTAATTTAACCAGGTATATGAATTTTGTTCATTCCGTTTTTCTCCTCTGCTTTAGTTTTTGCTTTAACTGCTTTCAACAGTGACTCAAAACCGGTGCCTGAAAACCTACTTTGTATACTTGTATTTATATTCCTTGTATACTCTCTGCCAAGAGTTTAAAATGGAATAGCTTTCTCCCCTTTTTATTTGCACTACTGCCAGTAAAGACGCTGCCAGTGTCACTGCCTCCTAGGCATGTTTTCATCTAGGCCAGTGGTCTCCAAAGTGGGGTGACAGCAGCCTAGGAGGTAGGCAAGACCACTGGGGTACAGGAAGAAAGTATTAGAAGTTCAGTAATACTACACTTCTATAAATAAATAAATAAATAAATATACATGTATTGGGAGTGAATGCTTAAAATTTCTTTCACTGATAAGTGCCTGTGATCAAAAAAGTTTGGAGATCACTGATCTACAGTTAATACAATCATAAATATTAATTTCTTGGCTTTTCTTAACAAGGCAATATTCAGATCTGTTTAAGATTTGAATGTCATGCAGTTGCAGTTCTAAAAGCTGAACTCTGTGTGTTTATAACTAGTTAAGCAGCTTCTCACAATTAGAATGTGGTCCTTCTGGATACCTCATTCTAAGTCAAAACTTGTAGTAATTAATATATATTTAAGTGCAGTTGCTTATTAATCAGAGACTTGACTGATGCTGAGATGCTCAGTACAGAAACTAACACACCTTGTAAGACAGAGTCACCCCACTGGCAAACAAAATGCCAGTGCTTCACTTGTTTGTTCATCCACCTCCTAATTTTCTTATGCATATGACGGGTTCCACTATCCTATATACTTAGGAACCAGTTATGCTTGTTTATTTAATGAATGTACAGTTATAATTAACATAAACTTCTACATGGAGCTCGTGTTGCACATATCCAAATGAAACAGTTACAGAGAACAGTTAGGATCAGGTTTTATAAACAATGATAAAAAGCAAAATGAAGAACAACTTACTTTTCAACTACGTTATCTTGTTGTCTGACAAAAAACTGATACAGCTCAAATGGAGAAGTCTTATCTCTGTTTAGCCAAACTGCATTTCCAGCAGTTTTTCCCAGTTTATCTCCAGTAGTACTGGTAATAAGAGGTACAGTGATTCCAAACACATCTGTTCCTGTCATCCTAGGAAAGAAAAGATGCACTGCTTGTTAAAAAAAAAAAAATCACATCTTGGTAAAATTGACTAAAATACAAACATTCTGCAAGGTCCTATCCTTAATATAAAGCAGTTAAATAAGGGAGTGAGGAGCAAAAGATACCCGAACAGATGTTCTGAAAAGAGTGCTTTAGGGAAAAAAACAACTTAAGTTTTTAAGTTCTTTTATGTGTATCAAAGAAGTTGACATACTCAAAGCAACTCGAGCAACAGCATTAGCAGGTTCATTGTGCCCGACCTCTTGTCTTCTGCTCCGAGTACTAATCGAAGCTGCTGGTGTGGCTGGGACACTTGTAAGGCTTTTCCTCTGTGCCCAATCTCTCTCTTGTAATAATCAAGCCCGTACTGAAGTAGAAGCATTACCACATCCTCACTGATTTATACTCCTGCAAACCTTCTAAAACTCGCACTAAATTTGGTGGATAAGCAAAAAGCGCATCATCGTCACATCTCATTTTACTTCTGAGAAGGAATGGAGCAATCTTGACCAATATACCACAACTACCTCTACTTCAGTGTGATCACACCAGGATCCATGTGCTGGCAGAGGACTTGTCCTGATTTTGTCCCATGCTTCAGGGTATTTGATTTTGGTTCTTGGATCCACTAATAAAAAATCCATCCTTTTTGTTAAGAATTTATTAACAATTCATAGAAAACGCTTAAACCCTGGCCAAAATGTACATATGTGTCAGGCTTATGGTCAGGCCAATTAATTATTCCTCTCAAATCACAGTTTTATGTAAGGCCAAATGTCTTGAGGGTTGACGTCTGCTCCTGGTGCTTTAGCGACTGTCAGCACCAAGTCGCACAGCTTCTGGTCACAGAATCAGCTGGGTTGGAAGAGACCTCTGAGATCATGAAGTCCAACCTATGACCACCTCATCTACTAGACCATAGTGCCACATCCACTCCTTCCTTAAACACCACCAGGTGACTCCACCACCTCCCTGGGCAGCCCGTTCCAATGCCTAATCACTCCATCTGTGAAGAACTTCTTCCTAATGGCCAACCTAAACCTCCCCTGGTGCAGCTTAAGGCTGTGTCCTCTTGTTCTGTCACTTGTTACCTGGGAGAAGGGGCCGATCTCCATCTGGCTACAACCTCCTTTCAGGTAGCTGTATAGCGCTACAAGGTCACCCCCGAGCCTCCTTTTCTCCAGGCTAAACAGCCCCAGCTCCCTCAGCCGCTCCGCACAGGACATGCACTCCAGACCCTTCCCCCAGGCAGCTCCACTGCCCTTCTTTGTACCCGCTCCAGCACCTCAACATCCTTCCAGAACTGAGTGGCCCAGAACTGGACAAAGCACTCGAGCTGCGGCCTCACCACTGCCAACCATTGGGAGAATCTCCTCCCTAGTCCTGCTGGCCACACTATTCCCGATGCAGGTCTCCCGGTACCCAGACCACGCGTACCACCCCCGGCCCCCGGCCCCGCCGTACTTGGTGACGAGCTCGTAGCCGGACATGATGTTTCCCATCTGGTCGTGGCCCCCCAGCTGGATGCGGCAGCCGTGGTGCTGGTGCAGGTGCAGGAAGTCGTACGCCTGGAGCGCGGGGTACAGGAATTCCGCCAGGCTCATCCCGTCGGCGCTGCGGAGGCGCGCCTGGCAGCTCTGCCGGCTCAGTAGCGTGCCCATGCGGAGCCGCCCGCCGGCCCCGCCCAGGAACCGCAGCAGCGGCTCCCGGCCGAGCCAGCTGGCGTTGTCCAGCAGCTCCGCCCGGCCCAGCCGCCCGGCCCCCGGGTTCCAGAACAGCTCCCGGTGGTTCTGGAAGAGCCGCTCCAGCCCCGCGCGCAGGGCCCTGGCGTGCGCGCGCGCCGTCCCGGCCGGCAGCGGCTCCCGCGCGCGCTCCCGCCCGCTGGGGTCCCCGAGCCGCGCGGTGGCCCCGCCCACCACGGCGATGACGTCGTGCCCCGCGCGCTGGAAGTGCAGCAGCGCCATGACGGGCAGCAGGTGCCCCACGTGCAGCGAGTCCGCCGTGGGGTCGAACCCGCAGTAGGCGGCCAGGGGCGGCCGGCCCGGCGCCAGCAGCGCCGGCAGCTGCTCCTCCGCGCTCTGCGCCGGGAACACCTCCTGGAACAGCCCGCGCTCGCACTGCGCCGCCAGCAGCCCGCCCGCGCCCCGCGCCCGCCGCGGCTGCTCGTGGGCCCGGCGGCGGGGCGGGAGCGGGGCCCGGCGGAGCCCGCCCCACAGCCCCACCGCCCGCCCGCACCGCCGAGCCACCACCGGGGCCGCCATCGCGCGCGGGGCACGCCGGGAACGAGCGGGGCGGGGCTCCCTCAGGCGCCGGCCCCGCCCCGCGCGGGGACAGCCGGGGTGGGATGAGCGGGATGGAATGAGCGGGATGGGACATCCGGGGTGGGATAACCGGGGCGGGATAAGCGGGATGGGACAACCGAGGTGGCATGAGCGGGATGGGACAACCGGGGTGGGGTAATCGGGGTGGTTCAGTCGGGAGGGGCTAACAGGGACAGGACAGTCGGGATGGAACAATCGGCGTGGGATCACCACCATGACCCGTTGGGGGGGGAGCACGGAGGGAGCCTTGGATGGTCGGGAATGGCTTGAACGCCTGGCTGGTGATTCTTCTCCACGGTATTAAAGCAAATTCGCACAGGCACGCCGTGTGTTGTTGGCTTCTCCTTTTCCACTTCTTCTTTTTGTTCCTTTCCCCAACCCGAAATACCGGGATTTCTGATGCTTTCAGGCTGAAATGCTTGCGTGGGAAATGAGGCCCTCAGCTGGTAGTAGGGCGGCTGGCAGGAGGGGTAGCAGATGCTTAAATTAGTGACACTGGAGCTTTAGAGCTTATGAGCTCTAGAATTTATAAGCTACATTACCAGAATTTATTAGCTGTGTTACGTAGCTTGAGTATTTGGGAAGAGGACGCTTAAATTATGTTGGTGTGCAGCTATAGGCATGTGGGTGATAAAGATTAGGGGAAACATGGGCCCTCTCAAAAGGGAAATGGGACACCTGGTTACCTGGGATATGAAGAAGGCTGAGGTACTCCACGATTTTTTTGCCTCAGTCTTCACTAGCAAGTGACACCACCAGAGCTGCAGAAGGCAAGGCAAGGATGAGGAGAATGAAGAACCACCTGCTGTAGGAGAAGATCGGGTTTGAGACTGTCTAAGGAACCTGAAGGTGCACAAGTCCATGGGATTTGATGAGATGCATCCACTGAACCTGGGGGGTCTTGCAGATGAAGTGTCTAAGCTGCTATCCATATATGAGAAGCTAAGGTAGTCTGGTGAAGTTCCCACTGGCTGGAAAGGGGAAAATATAGCCCCTCTTTTTAAGAAGAGAAAAAAGGAAGTCGTGCCTCTGTGCCCAGCAAGATCATGGAGCAGATCTTCCTGGATACTATGCTAAGGTACATGAAAAGTGAATGGTGACAGCCAGCATGGCTCCGCTAAGGGCAAGTTGTGCCTGACAAATTTGATGGCTTTCTACAACAAGGTTACAAGGGAAGAGCAGCTGATGTCATCTATCTGGACTTGCACAAAGCATTTGACACAACATCCATGTGTCTAAATTTGAGAGACGTGGATTTGGTGGATAAGGAACTGTCTGGTTAGTTGCAGTCATAGAATTGCAGTCAACTCCAAGTGGAGACCGTACTTACTTGTATCATATAAAAGTTGCTCAAAATGAAGACAGTGAACTGTTTTTGCTCCAAATTGAACACTTTCAATTAATTTTTAATTGTTGTCTTTATAGAGAAATTATTTAATGACACCTATGCTAAGTTTTTACTACTTTTTGCTTTGCGGTAATTTCCACTTGTGTAATCTTTTGCAGATGGAAGGCTTCAGAGTTGTTAATCACTGCTGTTGTATGCACTGTGACAGATGGAAGTATCTATTTTATAGCACAGTAGAGATGTCAACTGCATTGCTATGTATGTGTGTCCACATACATTTCCCCAAATCAGTTACAAGGGCACCTTCTCCTTCCTCCCCCCTGGACCAAGCCCCTGGACCATCTACTGTAAATTTGCTCTGGCAGAACTAAAAAATAAAAATGGTTTTCAAAACTGTAATGGGATAATAAGTGTTTCTTTCAGAAAGAATGCAGCTGTCCAGGGAGAAGGGGTCCCCACAACTTCTTCAAATTTTGGAATGTATGACAGTATGAAAGAAAGTCTGTGAAACTGGAATATTTATACCAGAGATTAGAGTTGTTTTGAGGAAATGTTATTGTGTGCTGTAAGTAGCTTTTCTTCTTTCCACAGTTTTAATTTGTTTTTTGAAATGTTAAGCCTTTGTATGTTTACTTTTTCACAAAAAAAATTCAATTTGGTAATGTTTGAGTGCCAAGAAATGAACACGGTTTATAATCTTTAATGCAGAACTTTGAGAGTCCATTCTACCTGTATTTCTACACCCTCATGTAGTTCTACATTCTTACTTCTTGAAGAGTTGCATAACTAGTAGTTTAGACAGGATGCTCATGGCTGTTGATAGGTTTGAAAGAAACTGTTTTCTGGAATTAAACTAAAATACTTTAAATGCCACTGTTACTGCCAGCCATGGGGAAAAGCCTAATGAGATCAGCAACTGAAAAATTAGTCTGATGTTTTACAACTGTCTTCAAGTCCACCTTATTTAATACAAACTAGAAATAATTGTGTCATCAATACACAAATTTTAGCCACCTTATAAATTAAATGTGCTTGCCAGTGAAAAACACAATCATGGAGGGGAAAAACCACTGTAGCCAAGTTCAGATTAGTAAATGTCTGACATTAGTACCTGAGCTTTGTGTGGTACTACTATAACTAAAGCACAGTATCACTGTGTGAACAGAGTTTGTCAGTGTTTAGTAGTCAGGTTAAAATTTCACTTGGTGGAATAGATGGGCAAGGGGCAGGGTCTGTGTGCTTCAAACCTCATTCTGAAATAAAGAGAGCAGACCTTGCCTTTACTCAATGCTTTGTGGAGGACTGACTCTGACAGATGCCAGATTGTATACAGTAGACTCAGGTCCCTGCTTTGTGGGCTACAGCAGGACAAACAACTTGCCCGTCTGTTGTGCCCCTGCCCTGTTGGTAACTTGAATGGAATTATCTTGAGTAGGTTTTCTTCCTGCAGTTTTATCCTTCAGCTGTGAGGGTGATGGGTAGCTGGTGTTTTCAGGAGTTACTGAAGATCTCCAGTGTCAGCTTTTTGTTGCAAGTCAAACTCTGTGCTTTGAGGTGAGAGCCAGATGATTGATTCTTCAAAGTGTAAAACCGTTGAATATAGTTTTGTGCTCATTGACACTGTTTAAATTAGTGAATGTGCTTTCATTCTCCAGTAGCTCCCTTTGAGTTTGCTTCCTGCACGCCCTCTCAGCCTTTGCCTCTTCATTGCTAGGTGCCACAATAAGGTTGAATTAAAGTCCTCCAGATTTTGCTGACCCTAAATGCTGTATAGATACTTTTGGTTTGTGATTTTTTAAAATATCTATCTTAAATAATTACTTTTCATTTTGCACTTTAAAAGCACACCTTTGTAGCCATGTTAAATGCTTTAACATTAGTTACTACTTGTTCATATTTGAACAAGTTCTGTTTCTGATTACCTGAGCATACCTGTTTTGGGGTATAGGATAAATAAGACCAGACTAAGAAACGATACTTGATTTTTCTGGTCATCCTTGATCCTTGGCCCAAGTGTTCAAATGGTTGTGATAACCTTCTACAGTCATGGCAAGTAGTGGTTGTATCCAGCTGTTTCTTTGGAAAGAGTCAGGGAAGGGTTTGGTTTGCTAGGAATTGGTCAAAAGGAAGCACAGATGAAATTTCTTAAGAATTTATGGGTGTTACTAAAAACCTTGTCTGCAAAGAAGCGACTTCCCCTTTTTTACTTTGTATTTGTAAAAATGAATAAAATCCTTTTACTAACTTATTAAAAGTGAGTATATGTGTGCATCTGCACCATTTGGTAATCAGGGAAAAAAGGCAGGAAAGAGATCAGACATAAAACATTACTTATTCTATTCTTGGGATTTTATTTCCTGCAACCAGAAAGAAACTGTCAGATCTGCTCTGTTGTTTTTCTCTGGAGGCAAACATGGCTGTGTACTGATGTAGTTTGTTCCCAAGTGTATGTTTTCAATTTGCTCTAATGCTTCTGTTGTTTAAGAAACAAGGCAGGTATATTAGGTGGATGAACTTTACTTTCCCTTCTCTTCACCTTTTTCCTCCACATGGTTTCTCTCAAGGTAAAGCGACAGAAACTGGTCCTGAGAGCGAAGACAATGTATAGGCTGCTTTTTTAAAGTTAGAAGTGACTCAGCTACTTTTTATTTTTCTTTATGAAACAGAGATTAGGATAGAGATGTCTCATTATCAAGTTGATCAAGGAAAAAGAAACATAAACAAAAAAACCCCACCTAAAAATATAACAAACTCCCCACCCAACTATAGAATAGCTGGATTCTTGAGACTTGTTGCAGTTTACTAGAAGTTCCCCATTCCTCTCATAGCCTGGGTGGTTTTAAACCAGCTGAACAACTATGACTTTGATGACAAAAGAGATGGTGCTGAGTTACCACATTCAGGAAGCTCAGGTTAAGGCCTCTCCCCTTGTGGCTGCTGTGACTGCAGACTATATTGTCTAGGAAATATATGGACCAGGAAATGATTCTCTCTGGCCTAATCCTTGAAAGCAACACTGCACTCAAAACCCAAAGCACTATATCAGACTGAGGGTCCCTTACTAAAGAAGCTCTGCGCCAGCCAACTACATTACTGTGTTCTAAAAGTCACTAAGCAGTTGGACATAATCCAAATCTGGGCTTGCACTGCAACTCATGCACCTGTACTGCCTGAGCAACCCAATCTCAAACCTCACCAGGGGAAGGGAATCTGTCAAGGCATTGTATTCCATGCTTATTTGATTCCACGTGTGTAAGGAGCTGTAGTGGCTAGTAAGAAAAAGGAGGGAAGGTGTGTTGGAGCAGTAAAGCAGTTCTACTTTTAAATGTAGATGTTGCAATTCTACCAGCTCATGGAGTTCATTCTGTCTTTCATGCCATCTTTACAAGAAAATGAGGAAGAAATGATCCCAAATGCTGACTAGGCCATAAGCAGTAGAATCACTTTCTGCTCTCCCATTCAGAAGTGCAACTTTTGTATGTTGTACTGTCTGAAGGGTCTTTTTTATATGCAAAAGCACTACAGCTTCCTTCATGTGTTTCCTGGTCCAGAGACCCTTGTGGTGCTGTTCACTCACAAGTCTTGGGCACCTAAAATTAAAAAAACCTTTCTTGTACATGCTCCAAATCTCGTGGTATAATATACT